TGTGACTGTTTGTCCTGGTGCTGTGGAAGGGTAGGAGGGGCTTTCTTTTTGCAGGTGAAGATCCTTTCGAACAGCAGTAACTCACTGCTCTCGAGGGTCATGCCAGACACTGTTCTTAGCATTTCACATGCATTCTGTCATTTAATTCTTGGTGTCTTTATAAGGTAGGTATTGTTACAGTCAGCACTTAGGTTAAAAAAAAAAAAACAAAAACAAACAAACAAACAAAAAAAACCACAGACAAAATGGAAAGAGTATGGAAGGGAAGAGCATAGGAAAGGACATTTGGGGAAACAATAGAGAGGTAAGATACTTGTGGGACACAGATCTGGTTTATTATCTGTGGACGAGGATGTGTGTAAGTACAGTCAACTGGGCTGGACTGAGGTGTACATCATGCTTGGTAAAATCTCTTTACTATCTAAACGATGTCTAGCAATTGAATGTATGAATAATAATAATAATAATAATAATAATAATAATTTATTTATTTAATTTAAAAAAAAAAAGAAAGAAAGAAAACACAGGCTTAGAGAAAACAAGCCACTTGCCTGGTGAGCAGCTAGGGGAAGGTTAGAACTCAAAAGCTGTCCTAATTCTAGACACACCCTCAATTTCCAGCGTCTTTTCCTTTTCCTCGTTTGCAACTCTCCCAGTTTCTCTTTGAGGACACACGTGGTCCCAGTGATACTAACTCTGATCCAGCACTGGGGATAGAGCATGTAACTTAGGTAACGTAGGTTAAACCAATCAGGTCAGTGATTGGTCAGCAGTGGTCACGTGACCAGTGTGTGGCGGGAGGCCTTCCAGAACAAAGGCGTGCTTGGAATTTAAGTATGCATGCATCACCTGTAGTAACCTCCTAGCCCTGTCTCCAGAGCAACTTAGCAACTCTGTAACTTCACCTACACCTGCATATCTAACAGCCCAGTAGCCCAAATACACACCTGCATAATTCTGTAGCAACCTTATCGTCTAAGTTACCCAATCCAAAGTATGTAAAAGCGAGTATAGCCATATAAGGGAGATGAAGAAACTAAAACGAATATAAGAAAGAGCCCCAAGAAATCTGGGGCTCAGCCTTTGGATGTGAACCCACTGAACCAGTGCCAGCTCTGATAAAATTGCTGTCTTCCTGCAAAAAGCCTCAGTGTCCTGTCTCTCTCACTGAATATCCCGCTCCTCTTGGACTTGGAATGAACGGCAGGGCTTTGGGCTATGGATGTCTCTCCTCCGTTGTATTATGGACAATGTGGGTAGAAGCCTTCCACTGTTGAAATGATTTGCTGTTACAGGAACGACTTTCTGGGGATGAAGGGCCATGTGCAGGGAGGCGTGAGTTCAAAGAACTGGAGAGAAATGGAGGTGAAGGGTGGATGACAGCTGAAATCTCCACAGCAAGCCAGAGCTGACACCTGGACCCCCTCTGGGCTCAGAAGACATAGAAGCCAATCAAGTCCCCGGAGGTTTAAGCCAGATTGAAGTGAGTTCTTTGTTGCTCAGAGCCAAGACATTCTAAGTGATACAATCACACAGCCTCACGGGGTCCCTGGGCGTGCTGCCTGGACCCTTGCCTAACAAAGCTTCCCTCGGGTGCCAGAGTCTCCCTCAAAAATATATAAAAACTATTCATACAGAGAGCTGAAATTTCTCTCCAAACATAGAAAGGGCTGGTGGGTACCACATGACTGGAGCTGGCTGAGTTCAAGGAGATTTCTTTGTTTTGGGGGGCGTAGTAAAATCTTGAGCTGAGTTTTTCTCCCTCCCTCCCTCCCTTCCTTTTTTCTCTTTCCTTCTTTTTCTTTCTTTCCCTCCCTTCCTTCCTTCCTTCCTTCCTTCCTTCCTTCCTTCCTTCCTTCCTTCCTTCCTTCCTTCCTTCCTTTTTCTTTCTTTCTCTCCTCTCTTTTTCTTTCTTTCTTTCTTTCTTTCTTTCTTTCTTTCTTTCTTTCTTTCTTTCTTTCTTTCTTTCTTTCTTTCTCTTTTTTCTTTCTTTTCTCTCTCTTTTTCTTTCTTTCCCTTCCTTCCTTCCTCTTTCTTTCTTTCTTCCTCTCTTTCTTTCTTTCTTTCTTTCTTTCTTTCTTTCTTTCTTTCTTTCTTTCTTTCTTTCTTTCTTTCTTCTTTTCTCCTTTCTTATTTCTTTCTTTCTCTCTTTTCTTTCTCTCCTCTTCTTTCCATTTTCTTTCTAATCTTTCTTTCTTCTTCAGGGAAGTTTATTGAGGATACTTTTTTTTTTGAGTGCTTGACTCTGAAACAGTGGCACTCTCACTCTCTCTTTATGAGAAGAGAATACATTTAGGTTCTTTGGAAGGTCGTGCGGGCACTCCGTCCCTGCCCAGACACTGCCCAGAGGACTGGCCTAACGCTTCTGGGTCTGTCTGTCCCAACTCCCCCTCAACACCTCCTGTCTTCTGGGCTGCCAGTTCCAAGCCTGACTTGCTGGAGCATCAACAATAATCATGACTCTGGACTTCCTCCTGCCACATTTTTATTTTAGCCAAGGACTCCAGAACATTGTTTCTCAACTTGCAGGTATCAAAGTAATTGGGAAATTTAAGGCCCAGGACAGGACAGGACATCGAGAAAACATATATTTTGGGACAGAACTCTTTCCTCTTTCTTTCTGATCATGTTCTTAGTGAAATTGCTGTGTGCGTGTGTACTCAGCCATGGCTGGTTTTCAGCTCCACATGTGGAAATCCCTGTTTAATCCAAGCCTGTAGCATGTAAAGTATGCAAAATTTAAATCAGTCATCTCTTTTTCTCTCTCCCTCTCTGTCTCCCACACACACATTTCCTCCTTAATGAGGAGGGTGAGGAGACTGGGAAGGGAACAGCTGCGCCCTGGGCCGGTCTTTGGAAGGCTGTGACAGCTGTCTGAACTGCTGGAACAGGTGACTGCTCAGAAGGATGTGCGTTGAAAAGGATGTGGGGCAAATGCCTTAAGCTGGGGGAAAAGGCAAGAGGTTGGAAGTTGCTTGCTCGCTGAATGTATAGCAGCACCATCCCCACGTGTGCTCAGAGGTTTTTCCCAAGCCTGGTGCAGCCATGCATGCCTTTTCTCCTGAGCATATGAACCTAGGCAAGGGCGACGCCATATTGTGTCTATGCTCCAGAAAATCTCACATGCTGGTTTCAAGTTCTGACTCATCAGGCCTGTGTGACCTGCTGTTCTAGGTGGTTTAATTGTGTACACACAGTAACCAATAGCAACTAACATTTAAAAAAAACATTGTTATAGGAAGTGTCTTTCCAGGCAGGGGGGAGTGAAAAAGCATTGGCTACAATGCAATCCCTTCTCCTTGACTCTTATCTCAAATTCTGGACATGCATGCACATGCACCCACTATGTTTTTCAAGCTGCCTAGTCTGGGACTTGAACTGTGCGGTTGGCCAGGTAGGATCCAAGTGCCTTAACCACCATGCCACTGGTTGGCCCACAACATTTTTTTTTAAAGACTTTTAAAATTTAGCTTTATTTACTTATTTTCAATTTGACCAGAGAGGGACAGAGGGAAAAGGGGAAGGGGGAGGTGAGAAAGCAAGCTGCCAGGTCTGGGACTTGAACTGTAGTTGGCCATGTGGGAGTCTAGCACCCTTAACCATCATGCCACCTGCTGGCCCCCACAACATTTCTTAATCTACAGATTTTTTTTTTTTTGAGAGATTTTCACTGTAGGGCACGTGCACTCGCCAGACAGACAGAGAAAGACATAGAGACAGAAAGTGAGAAATCACCCCCCAGGGGGGATGGTCATGCCGCAATCCCTTCTCCTCCATTCTCCTCTCGGGATCTTGGGCATGCACGCACACGCGCCTGGCGTGAGTTTTAAGCCACCGGGTCCGGGACACGAACCGTGGTCGACTACGTGGGAGTCCAGCGACATAGCCATTACGCTAACTGCTGGTTCCCCTTAATCTACAGATTTTTTTCCTTTTTGTCTTTCACATTGTGGCACTTCTGTGGATGTTAAAGACCTGTAAGTGATTAGATAAACCTATGTCAACCCTTGAGCAGGAGTGAGAGGGTCAGACATTGGGCCCTGGGACACTGGAAAGAAACAGTAGGTGAGGGGACCCCAGATGGCCTGGGGCTGTGGAGCCCACCATATGATCCTGCACATCTTAGGGGAGAAGACAGGGCTGCTGACATGGTTCTGGCAGCCAGGTGGGCAACCCACTCATTTATGAGGGCATTGAGGATGGCGTTTCCGCATGTGAATACATGCATTTACTATGGGGCACATGGCTTCTTAATACTTTAGAAGACTCAAGACTGAAGGCCTGGATGTGTCTGTTTTTTTTCACTGGGGTGTCCTCAGAGCACAGTGTCTGGAGCATAAGTGCCCAGCAGTTATTCTTGAATGAATGAATGAATGAACGCATATAATAATGAGTACTATCGTGTGCTGAAATAAAGTTGTCATGCTTTGGGGCACGAAGGTGAAGTGAGTGTTTGGGGGACCAGCAGTTGGCGTAATGGCTATGTCGTTGAACTCCCACGTAGTTGACCGTGGTTTGAGTCCCAGACCTGGTGGCTTAAACTCACACCGGGCACCTGTGTGTGTGTGTGCCCAAGATCCTGAGAGGAGAATGGAGGAGAAGGGATTGTGGTATGGCCATCCGCCCCCTTCTCGCTTTCTGTCTCTCTGTCTCTCTGTCTCTCTCTGTTTTTCTGGCGAGCACATGTGCACTATAGCAAAAACTTCTCCAAAACAAAAAAAAAGAAAAAAGAAAAAAAGAAATGAGTGTTTGGACAAGCAAGATCATGCTGTCACCATTCTTGAGGTTCCATTAGCTTCTTGGCGGAAGTCTGAGGGCATGGGGTCTGCCCATGAGGAGGAATGGCACATTTCCCCAGCACTCCACTTGTACCCTCTGCCCTGCCATCCTCCTGAATTTCTTACAACTGCTTACACAGCAACAGCTTCCTACACTTGTATATGGCGGAAGTGACTTTAAACTACAACGTTAGAGAAAGAATCTTGGAATAAACCATGATGAACTGTTAGGGCCAGCTTTCTTTATTCTCGGTAACTAATTAGAGAAGAAAGGTCTATCCTGAGGCTGTTTAGTGACCACCAAGGGGCTCCTTAGAAGTGGATGACTTTGGGGGCTACATCACATAGGTGGATTCTGGGGATATCTGGTCTTAGGGATAAAATTAGGAGCTACATTCTTTGGGGGAGCTTCGTTGTGGAGCTCCTCTCTGTCATTGGCTGTTTGTTCTTATATAGTAGTTTCCATCTAAGGGACATAGATGTCTCATGAGATGAAGCTTCTGGCACTTTTTGCTGTAGACCTTGATCAAGAGCAAATGACCGTAGCATTGGCACAGGCCACAGTAGAACGGTTTTCATTATAGAGTTCCAGCAAAACCTGGTATTTTCCCTGCAAGGAACACAAGTGAAGGGTTAGTCATGTGACTCACAGAATCATCAACCATTTCACATCTATTTCTTTAACACCTTCTTCTATGTGCCGGACACTCCTGTAGATCCTGGGAGTCAAGACAAAGCAAGCCCCCGGCCCTTTGGAGCCTATGGTCTCCCCGGAAGAGAAAGACAATCCACAGGATTAAGTAACTATGAGCAGTGTGTAAGATGCTGACGTTATGAGAAAACTTTTGCAAGAAAGGGGTGGGCAGAAATGCTGGATTGGTGAGGAGAGTGTGGGGTGTGTGCTGATGTGAATTTTGCCATTTAATAAAGTCTCATTATTTTGAACAAGAATTAGTGGGAAATTCTCCTAGCTGTGTGCCTTGTCACTGAATGCTCAGGACATGAGTGTTTATGTAGGGCGTGGCTGCCCATGAGCGGTAGTGAAAGGAAACTAGAGGGTCCTGAAAACCTTGATGGTTTCATGCACTTCCCTTTCTCTGAACTACAGGCCTCCCTTGAGTAGGAATCCCAGCATGCATCGAGGCTGCCTTCCACGTACCCTGAGCAGCCCTGGCTATATGGAGTCCCTGCATCATTTCTGCAGGGTTCGATGCCAGCATTCGTCTCAGTGGGAAATTTGTACTCAGAGAATCCCCAAAAGGTTCTGTGGTACAAAAAAGTTAAACAGCAAATGATTTAAAGCCAATGTGTCAAGCATTTGCACATGCCCACTCTGGGGAAACAGCCTTATGGGGAAAGAG